CAATCTACTGGGGATTATACGTTTGACAATATGCTACTGTGAATTGTAATAGGTAATTGTAAGTCTGCAATTAGGAGTATTAAATAGAATTCAGTTGGTCTACTGGGGATTTAAAAAGGAGTAATACAAGTGACCTGACGATCGAAATAGCTCAGCTGTTGTACAAAGACATTGTGCACCTCAAATATCAAAGTAATCAGGTTGGTAGTTTTCAAGAAGAATTCTAAAATATCATTTTTTTACCAAAAATGACAAAAATACTTGCCAAAAATAGAGATAAAAATTAACAAAATGGATAAGAGGTCCACCCAAGGTACTTAAATATAACGTATCAAAGCAATCAGGCTAGTACTTCTCAAGAGAAAGTTGAAAACAATTTTTTTTACTCAAAATGACAAAAATAATTGCCATTGAATCAATGAAACAAATCTAACTCAGGTCCACCCAAGGTACCTAGATGCCAAGTATCAAAGCAATTAAGTTGGTAGTTTTCAAAAATAATTAGAAAATGAAATTGTTGACATGATGACGAACAATCACCTATATAAGCAGCTCAACTCTGTCATCTAAGATGACAGCAGAGCTAAAAGGTGACAGTTGGTCTACTAAAATTAAAAGTAAATGAGATGGTGGTTTTTCTACTGGAGATTAAAATAACAATGTTTTTTTTCAGTAGTAAAAGATTAGCTAACAGTGATCTTGCCACAGAAACAAAACAAATAATTTGTGGGATAAGGGTTCGCAGATTTTTAGTAAATTCACAGATCTGAAAGGTTTATGTGAGGGCAATTTTTGAAGAGCTCACATGTACTGAAGGGCCCAAGGTGAAACCATGGCCAAGGATAATCTTATAAGTGAGCTGAAGGACCATTTCAAAAGAAGTTTGCCAAGTTGCACAAACCAGGTGAATAGAGTGAACTCATCAAAAGAGTGAATTTTGAGTTAGTGCACAAATCCATGATTTGCACAATTTCCTTTAAGCCAAAAAAAATGGTTGGATGAACACTAGAAAATCATCCTTAGTATATCAGTGAAGACTGTCCAATCAGGTCAGTCCAATTGGGAGAAAGTTTTGTTTACTTGCAAGAATGTTATAATGGCGTGCAGGGCATTGATTCATAATCAAATATGATATATTGGGAAACAGACTTTTATCCCATCCAGAAATTCATAAAGAATGCCAGAAATTTACATTTGCTACAAACCAAGAGAATTTAGACTCAAATACAGATGATTTGGCTAAATATCATCAATGGGTTGCATGTTCTTAATAATTTTGTCTTGCATATCTACTAAACAAACAAAACCTATGATAGTCTGTAAACCTGAGCACACCTGAAAATTAATGACATGTTTGAATATCTGTAGTTTGGACTAGAAATAATAACTCAGCTCATGCAGTATACATGGTCATCAACATGTATAATAAAACGATGGTCCATTCATTCTTCAACAACTTACTGGAGTGACCATGTTATAAACTTGTGATTCATATTTACATATTAGATACATAACCATGTTAGAGGTTAGTCACTGGCGCCATTGTAAACATGTATCGGTAGAATCAAAGCT